TTTTTTTTTGTGGTCACTTAACTGTCTCAGTGTTTCCTCAGTGTTTCTGCAATGTCTCTCCTCTTCCTGTGCCACCCACTACTGTGCTGGGCAAAAAGAGTGCCAGTGAGTACAGTTTTCCAGAACAGACAATTTTTTTTCCTTGGGAGAGAGATCTCCTTTACTTTGATCTGTGGATTCTCATCTGTTTTCTTACTTACTCTTCTATCCACTAAGTATCTTGAGGATGATGGAAGGAAAGAGTTAGATTGTTTCCTACATTAATGATTAATGCTTACACATTAACATTTACTGTAGTTGAAGGAAAATGTTAGTGTCAAGTAGAATAAAATTTAATATAATTTAAAGAAAGCATTATTTTTGTTTTAAATTGTGAAACTGAAAAAAGTAGGAAGCATGTTACATGGAAGCAATGTTCAACTCAGAAACAAACAATAGTACTAGTAGTTACGGGCCATAGATCCCGTTTCTTTAGACAGCCTACATAATACAAGAGGCAGCACTGAATTTTTTGACACAAATGCTTATTYCTTCTGTGTTTATTATAAGCAACCTGATGGAAAGAAGCAACAACTATCATAAAACATTGTCATAATGGTCAAAATTATGATACTCTAAATTTTACAGCATCATCAGTTGCTTTATTTATTTAGTATGCATTTAGTGCAAAAACAAGGGTTATGGCACCAATTACAAAGTTTTATGCAGGCAACTCCAAAGTGCAAGCACTTGCCTAAAAATGCTTAAGCATTTACTGCTGTTCTGCCAGAAGCTACTACCCTTACAACAGAGTTGGCAGGATGTAACTTTCACTCGCACCAGTTGATGATCTCCCATTTAAAATGCTGATGGAGATGAGTGTAAGGTAATGTCCCAGGCTTCCCTGCAGGCACCAGGAGGTTTGGTCTATAGGGCCACCTGTGCAAGGGAGGTTGAAGGGGGCAGCAGGGAGCTGGTAACAGCCAGCAGCTRTATCAGTTTGAAAAAACAAGTGTAGTCTTAAGCAATTCAGCTTTGCACTTTTGTTTCAGTTACTATAAAAGTCACCGATGCATGAGTGCACCTGGAGGTTTCAGCTTCATCAGCAGAGCAAAAGCATAGTGCTTCCTTACTCTTGCCAACATTCAAAATTTTTCAGTTCACTGATTGCCACTTCAGTTTCTTCCAAAGAGGGTTCTGTAAAGCCAAAGCTGTTGGACTACCAGGCTTCTCTTTATGCCATACTTACCATGACTACTACCTGTCAGCAGCTGGCATACAGTTCAGATCCAGTGCATGGCTCACACATTTCAGAGTCAGAGGGATTACAGTATATCATATCTTTTTTTACAAGTACTGTCTCACTAGGGTAGTTCAAAAGAGCCTGAAATGTTTGCTGACCTGAGCATATCAGTAGGCCATAAGAGTATCCACGTACCATTGAAATCCTGTGCTGTCTCTGAAACTGTCTTAAATTAATTTGGTTCTTTAAATCTAATGTTTCAAGACATTCCATTTACAGAATACAGAGAAGAGCCAGCTACTGAGTGTGCTTTAGTAACACTCAAAGAAAGAAATGCAGTGCAGCAGAGCCCCATTACATGGGATAGGACCATGGTTAACCTGTAGGATGCTGTCATCTGGTCAGSGTAAAAAATCAACCCTCTCCAGCAATAAATCCATGTAAATATTGCTCATTCTGATTTGCAGCCCTCTCTTAATAGAAGGTGTTAAGAAAAAAATTTTGTGATTACTTCTTCTGCTATAGAGGAACAGCAGCTTATACACCTTTAGATACTAACCTAGATACTGATAACTGAACCTAGGTACTTCAAACCCACAGACATCAGTTTTGGAAAGCTATTTTGTTTTACAAGGTTTTGGAAAAAAAAAAAAAAAAACTAAGCTGCAAAACTTAGGGTTTGTTTTCCTTTGAGTTTTGCATAATAGAACTGATTACCTGTCATCCTTTAAATTTTGAAGAAAACTGTACTTAAAAATTGAATGCCCCACTCTTATAAAATGAGCTGTCAAAAGTCAGTGATAAGCACAATTTAATGGGTTCCTGAAGACCAGAGATAAAGAGATGAATTTACTGCTTTCAGCACAGTGACTGCATAAACATGACTGAGCAGCCAGCTCCTTACCAAACCCAGAAGCATGCAGAAGGGAAGAGAGCTATAAATTGAACAAGGAAGAGTCTTATGAAACTTGTATTTGTGGAACTATGCCTTAACTCTGCACTTGGAAAATTACGGAAATGCAAGATTCTGTTGGAGGACCTTGAGTAAGATAAGTTTAAATTAAAATGCTTAGTATAGAAATAATTATCGAATGCTTCCAGTGTTCCTTTAAAAAAACCACAATTTTAATTGCTTTTGAAAAACAGTATTTACTGTGATTTAACATTTATATAGAGGCAGAACAGGTCTACCTGTGAAGATGTGTGACYTGCTAAAATAAGCTTAAGTTCACAGGAAAATATTTTTTAAAATCTCCACTGCAGTCTGTGTTTATTTTGCTTTACCTCAGAGATGCTGCCTCTAAAATTGATTCTGGGAATATCAAAAAGTTTCTTAAAACTGGCTTATTTTTAATCACAGCTGGGAATGTCTTAGTGGAAAGTTATGAATAAGAGTCAGAGACTATGACTTCTTTCAGCTCTTGRGGAGAAGTAAATATTGCTTAGCCTGATTCTACTGCATCTAATTTGCAAACTGCTTGAGACACTATATGGCCTGACCCAAGAATTAGAGATATATTTAATTTTAATTCCTATTAGTTGTATCCTGCAGGTTATGTGCTGTGCTGTAATATTCTTGGAAAACCTGAGTTGATGAAARGACTGAGTGTGACTACACTTCTACTTACACTCCTATAACACACTTTAAAACCATGCACCAAGGAATTACTCCATCTCTGTGGCCTGTACTTTAATTCAGACTAGGACAGAGTGATTTGATATGTGTACTCATCTTTAATAAGTTGAGAAGAACATGACAAATGCAGAAAGCATGTTAGCTAAAATAAATTACTTCAGTCCCTCCACTGTGAGACAATGTTTTTATAATTAAACTGCAAATATGCAACCATGAGTCACTCTGATGGTACATTATGTTATTCTGAATTGTTGAGATGACTAAAAAATAAGTTTGGGTGTTAGTAGTGTGGTCAGGGTTATAAACTACTAAGTTTTTTAAACTGGAAACAACTGTTAAGTATTTGTGAAAAGCACAGGTCAAGAATCAATTGTGATGAAAATTCTCAATTACTGTTTTTAGGAAATTTCTAAAACAGTAGATCCTATATGACCTACAGCTTTGCATTTTGTCTGGTTTCTTTAATAGTATTATAGAGTCATCTACATGAGCCAGTTCTCCTTCCCTTTCTTTATATATGAAGATTTGCACTAAAGCTCTTTGAAAACTGTTTAATTCATGACATGTTGCAAGAGACCAATAAAGTAGTAGTTCATTGGCCACAAAACTTCCCTTTAGAAACTTGCTCATTTTTCCTGGATTTTCTGTCCCAAAGACTCTTGACAAAGACATGCTATCTTGATTATCTAAGATTATCAATCTAAGATTGATATGCTTATATTCAGATCAGTGTATTTCTTATGTTGTCCCATCAAAGTTGGAGACATTTTTGAAATTGATTACCCAAAACCCAAAGATTAAGTGTGGTTTTTGCCTAGACATATATGAAAAAATAATTTACCAGCTCTCTGGGCAACCTGTTCCAGTGTTTCACCACCCATGTTGTAAAAAAAGTCTTTCTTATATCCCATCTGAACCTGCACTCTTTTGGTTTGAAACCTTCACCCTTTGTCCTGTAACAACATGCCCTGCTAAAGAGTCTGTCACCATCTGTCTGGTAAAGTCCTTCTGTGTACTGAAATTCTGCAATAAGATCTCCTGAGAGCCTTCTCTTCTCCAGGCTGAAAAACCCTCTCTCGCAGCCTGTCCTCACAGGCGAGGTGCTGCAGCCCTCTGACCATCCTTGCAACCTCCTCTGGACCCACTCCAGCAGTTCCATGTCCTTCCTGTGCAGGGACCCCAGAGCAGGATGCAGCCCTGCAGGTGGGGTCTSAGCAGAGCAGAGCAGAGGGGCACAATCCCCTCCCTGGCCCTGCTGCCCACGCTGCTCTGGATGCAGCCCAGGACACGTTTGGCTCTCTGGGCTGGGAGTGCTCATGGCTGGGGCATGTCCAGCTTTTCACCCACCAGCACCTAGAAGTTCCTTTGGCAGAGCTGCTTCAATCCCTTCTCCTTCCAGCCTGTGTTGATATCAGCCAATTGCCCTGACCCAGGTGCAAGATCTTGTACTTGGCCTTGCTGAACCTCCTAAGGTTCACATGGGCCAGTTCTCATCATGTAGCAGTGATGTTTTCAGATTACTGGGAATTTGCTGAAATTAGCAAATATCTGACACGGGGAGAACTTCTAGTCAACAGTAGGAAAACCATTGAATTGAACAAGGCATTTGTTTAGTCTGATATTCAGAAAATTAAAAAGCATAATCTGAACCAGGTTAATGTAGAGCAGCAGTACATGAAGCTTTCCCCTTTTGATCTTCTGTATACCTACTTCAAGYATTTTCCATGTAAACTCTTGTGCACTTTTGTAAAACCCTCCACCCTAGTGAGCAGTAGTCTAAAGTGACTAATAGGAAAACTGCAGAAAATTCCCTATTCCTGGGAAAAGTTTGCCACACATTTTGGAAGATACTCTAAATAGAGAACAAAAACAAGAAAACAAGATTTTAGTATGGGAAATAAAATCCAAAGAAAACTCCATCTGTATTTAGCTGTATTTTTAGAAAGGGTCTTTACAAAATAGTTACATTATGATATTAGGGTCTTCTAAGAAATAAAGGGAAAAAACCACCAATTAAAGAAACCCAGGTCAGTTCTTTTTTGTTATATTCAAAAATAARTCTGAAATTTTGCCATGCGTATCATAATTACAAATTGTAGCTTCCATTCTTCCACTAAGCAGGAGATTTTGATTTTTTTGTAGGATGTCACATGTGCTTCAGTTTGAAGACAGAAGCAGAAAGGTGAAAGATGCAAGCATGCAGGATGAAGACACTTTTGAGATCTATGATCCACGGAATCCTGTAACTAAGAGGAGAAGAGAAGAAAGCAAGAAGATAATGAGAGAAAAAAAGGAAAGGAGATAAAAGGAGTGTAAAGCTAGCCAGATCTGCCTTGGAAAGTGACTCCAATAAAGCACTGACTCTTTTGCAAGCTGATCCTAAAAATACCACTGGACAAGTGTGAAAAGGAATCTCTGAAGAAGCTGTCTTGCAGTTTTGAAGCAGAGTTATCATTTATTTCTTAAGTTGTGCAGTCAAGTGCTCTCACTGCATTCATTATTCAACCTCTCTAAAGGTTTTTAGAATTACATATTTAATAAAACAGCTGACTTGACTTTTGTCTATGTTTTAATTACAATAGTCAAAATAATTGTTTAATCAAAATATGGTAATCAAAAAGTTTTCAGCATAATGAGTGAGAATTTCTCTAAGCAAGAGTGAAGTTAGACAATGGAAGCCCCATCTGCAGGCTTTTAAGATTTTATGAAAGTACAATTTTAATTATTTTTATTATTTTTTTAAAAGCATGTAAACTTTGCCTGTCTGAACCACTCTGACACAGAATTAAAATGATGAAGTACTTTTCAGAATAGTCACAGCTTTCTTGAAACAACTAAGTTTAATTTGAAATCTAGTTATTGCCTCCCTCTTTTGAAATACACATTCCGGCACAGATCATGGGATGATACATTTTAAGTGGCTTATTTCACTGTCCATACCACATGAATAATAAAAGTGAATCCGAATATGCTGTAATGGTTGCTTAAACCACTTGTTGCAATACCAGAAACATCCCTTTGGTAGAATTTTCACTGTAAAGTTTCTGGAAATGAAGACTGGGTTAATTAGTCCAGTACAGGAAACAAAAGAAAATGTGATCAGTCACACTGAAAACAGCCCTGCTTTTAGCAATTATTCAATCATCTAAAAATGGACAGCTCAAGTTTCCAGTTTATAGGTTTTCCACATAGGTTTTTTACAACGTTGCGTGCTAATATTTTTACATTAAAAAAAAATCAACAGAAATTTTCATTGCTCCTTCTTTGCAGCAGTTCTCATGCCACAGGACCATGAATTACCCAAATGGGCAATAGCTAAAGAGGAGTGAACAAGGTCATTCAATAAAGTGCCACCAGAGCAGTGGTTTTGCTGATGTTGTTTTTAGAACAAGTTCAGTAAGGTATGGTGTCCTTATCGAGCTGCCACTGCCAAATTTCTTGATAGGGTTTGAGGTGTGAGATACATAAACCTGCATTGGTGGGTTAATATGGCCCAAATGTCAGAGGTTAGATTAATACAGACTATGGCTTTAATGCACAGTGTAACCTTTGAGATAAGGAGAAATCTTGGAGGTGTGAAGTGAGATCCTGTATAAAGCTGTCATTATCCTCCTCTTAGGCAGAGTGAATTACACTGTGCCATGGTGTAAAGAAGTTAAGAGGGGTTACATTCCTAAACGTGGCCATTCATAAACTAGTGAGTTGAAGTTTTTTAATCATTAAGTCATTTTCTGTTGGGCAGCTGCTGGCAAAAAGAATATCTCATGTCACATATTATTACCTCTATTCATTAGTTTGTGGAGAAAATTTTAAGTCAGTCATTACAGGAAATGAGCATATCAAAGCCCTATTCTGGTGGGGATGGGAGGGGGGAAGAGGAGGGTGAGCATGGGAAAAGTGAGGGCTGGATCCAGAAAGTGCCTTGAGCATCAATTCCAGGACAGTTACTGCCCCTATAATAGAAAAATGTTCTCATTACATATTTTTCCTGCAAGGTAAAGTAGGATGCATGAGTCAATAAATGGACAAGCTGACTAACACCCTTCTTAGCTGAATCTTTTAGCTTACTACCTGCAGCAGCTCTGAGTAATCTGTATTAGATGATTCCCCATTTTAAGCACTAGACAAGCACAGAGAGGAGAGTGAACTTGGGGGTTAGGGCTCTAGTCAGCAGGAAGAGATTTGAAAAGTCTGGACCTTGCGTACAGAAGACTGGTATCCTGAGAAGAACAAGAGAGTAACCATATTGACATTTTCTTGGTAAGTGTGCACTGAAAAAAAGAAAATCACAACTAGTCTACTGAGAGTCACTTAGAAATTTGTGCCTAAATTATATTTATTTCACTGAAGCACATCTAGTTCTGTATTGCATTTAGGAGACATCTGGAGCAAAGTAAAGTTTATGTCACAAGTACATTCTCAGGTAAAGTCAACACCAAAGAGTAAGAGCTCCACTGAAGGAAGTTAAAATGATGACACCGGTCTGAAGCAAGTAGTTTTCCAATGTCACATGTAGCTCCCATTGTGCCAGTAACAAACCTTCCTGTTTCCCATACTACCAGGCTAGCACAATCATTCAACTCAACCTATTTCATTCATCATATGGCATTTCTGTAATTACATGAAATGCTGAATGGCTTAAGGCTGCAGTATTCTTTATAGATTGCAAAATGTATGTGCTCAACAGTCAGTACTGAAAAGCCAGTGGGAAATACAGTGTGGGCAGGTGTCTCCCTCTCTGTGAAGCAGTCATATTGAGCTCAGTTGGTGGCTGGAAACAGAAGGAACAGTTGGTTTTATAGCTCTAGAAAGATTTTGTTCTATGGTAATGAGATTTTTGATTGACTATATTTTTCTTAAATCTTTATTAAGCATCTCCCACATTCCACCCTTATGGCCACCACCTCCCCTGTCTATAAACATGAACATAATCTCCACATAGTTATACCATACAGCTAGGAACATTTGTCTGTGCACTACTAATACAAAAGTGGTATTTTAACAGTTACTTTACTTCCTGAAAATGCTAATTATGTGCACAGATTGCCCAGCTGGAAGATGCACACCACAACACAGATACATAATAATTTCTGTGGACAAGTCAGTGTTTAAAATTGCTGGGTATGCCCTACTTCCATCACTACATGCTTTTTTGATTACTCATTTCATTAAGCTGAAAATGGTAAAAGCCTAGATGATGACTGAATTTGGAGTTAGATCTACCAGAGGGCTACCAATTTTTAGTGGCAGCTAACCTGCAATTTCCATACATCGACTTTGCTACCAACACAGGTAGGTAGCAAAGTGTTGACAAATATTCTATGAGACCATGCAGTCATCCCTGCCTTTCTTTTAATATAAACACTAACGGAGCCTTTCATTTTGTGAGAGGGAATGCAGCTTTCCTAAATGAAAAGAAAGGGTGAAGGAAAAGAGTTTACATCCTTGCAGACAGTATTATATTGGTAATGTCAACATTTTTATTTCCAAACCAGCTGGATTTTGAGTAGATAAGGTGCTTCTAGGCCACATCTGGTAATAACAAGATCCTCAAGAAGAGTTTAAAGGCTTGCCTCAAATGCTGTCAGTGATGCCAGCAACTAGTACAATGTGCCCTTTTTGCTTTAGAGCTAAAAAAAAAAAACTGAAGTGCAACAGAGCCTGTTTTATTTCTGTCAAATAGCCACTATGCCTAGGCTGCTAGGGGTGTAGCCTGCWATGCCACATTACGTAGCTTTCCCTGAGCTGCTGGCTTCCAGCATGAGCAGGTTTGGGAAGAGGTTTTTCCCATACTGTCTCCTTTCCCCAGGAGAAGAGTGTCTGAACTATGATGGTTAAAATAACTGCACAATGTTGTCTGCTTTCGTCTAGAGGACATCAAGTTTGCAAGAGACATGATTATGTTTTGGCAACATAAAAACTAGCTTCAGACAGAAAAGGCTAGCTCCAGACTCTGCCTCATTCTGGCAGAGACATGTGCATCTGTCATTACTTAAATGATGACAGACTTGGGCTGTTAGAATATGAGGGGRCTTCTTACCTGTGTGTTCCCAGTAAAATACGTAGGTGCTTGCTTACATCTTTCACTGTAACAAAGAATGAGCCGATCATATAGTAGCTACATTTATTAAGTTCCTGATGAAGTACATACAGTGCAGAGAATGTAAACAGAAAAGTTTTGGAATGTATCTGATCACCCTTTGGTAGCACACTCCTGTCCTACTATTATAGCAAGTACCTGAAGTTTGCTATATCCCAGTCTAATGCCATAAAGTAATTCCCTTTGGTTATCCTGGGCAGACATGGCACATTCCTGCTTGATAGTCACAAATATTTCATGCAAACTGACAGACACCTTGTACTCACAGGGTGGCTCTCTGATGGAAAAATTCTGCCTGGAAGGCACCCAGGGAGGGTGGCACACATCCTGTCAGAGACCTGTACACCTCAGCTACTGTCACAACAAAATAGTCCTCTGAATTCATTTTAAGAGTACTTCTTGGCAGGATTTCACTTCCATTTCAGGATCCATCACAGATAAGGTTTTCCATTTGATTTTATCCTTCTCTTTTTTTTTTTTTTTCAAGAACTTGCTCACACAGCACAAGTTTCATTTAGAAGTCATAGATTGGGAGAAGAGTGTGTTTAAAAAGCTACTGCACACTCATGCAGGTCTTTGTTACGCATCTCACACAGACATGTAAGAATCGGTTTCTGCCTGCACAGACTTCATCACCATTTCTCTCATCATCATGCCTTCCCTGTCAGCCTCTATTACCAAGGGCCAGAGAGAGAATTTCTATCGTCCCCCTCCTCAACTTTTTGACAGCTTCTGCACTTTACAGCTAGCCTCTGTCCCACTGTCCTCTCCAACTGTTTGTGTGTTTCCTGGCTTCCCACTGCAGAGCTGGAGAATCTAAACCGCCAGAAAACTTGCAGCTGAAGCTGCATTTTACTATGTTCAAGTGTAGATTCCGTGCATACTACAAATGCAAAAAAATATGAAGCCGAAGCTTCAGAGAGTAAACTTTATATTTAAACTTTTTTATGTTCTAAACACCTCCTCTGTGCATCTTCTTTTTTATTATTATTCCTGAAACACTTACCAACATAGCATCGTATCCCAAATCCTTTCTCTGTTCACACTTGATCCTACCTTTAGGTCATACACAAAAAATGAAAGCTGGAAGCTGCTAGAAATACCTGATATGCCAGACTTTACACTACATTGACATTATTTGACTAAGTATGAAATGTCTACTGCTCTGAAAAATCTGTCCACAGAATAAGGATCCACTGATTGTAACCTGCAATTCTTATGTGGCATCACTCCAAAGCAGTACAAAAGCCGGAAAGCTAATTTAAAAATAAAAAATAAAAAATTAAAGCCTAACCTTTTCTTTCTTTCAAAACCCAAATTGTTTGGTACTAGTAACCTTCTGCTCTTAAAGAACTGTTTTAAAACAAGTACAAGGACCCCTCCTTAACAATCCAAATTTACAGACATGAAAGACTACAGACAAGGCAACATCTTCTGAGGGGAAAAAATTATCCTAAACCTCAACACATCACAAAAAAATTTGCATTTTTATGACTAATTCACCAAATCTAAATGAACAAAATTTTCACCATAGGGGAGATAGATGGGAAATCTACACTTCTTGACATAGAAGATCACAGGGAAGAGAAAAGAAGTCCTGATATGAACAGCTTTTATTATGTTTCCTATTTCTAATTTATGAAATGCACTGGCTGTGGCACAAAACAAGATATGATGGTCTTATTTCTATGTCAATGGGAGTTGCATACTTGAAAGTCCAGTCCAATATTCATAAGGTTATTTAAGCTGTACACTTCCCCTCTGTGATTTGTTTGTAGTAGTAAAAGGGCACAGTTACAGAAAAGTACAAGGATAGCCTTTAGTTTTGTCAGCTTTATTTGGCAGCAATAAAGTATGGAAAGCTGAA